TCGCACACACAAATGACGTCTCTGCTACGTCGACGTGCTTTACGCTCCATCGGGAGACATTCGGGATCTGTTGACACACAGAGATCCTTCGCATTCGCTGAAATGTGAGCTGAGGATCTAAAAATAGGGCAGAGTTTTCTAGGCTGGAGCGGGGAACAGTCACCCAGCCTGCACTTGCCGAGGGTACGGTGAGAATAACACCTCCGTCCCATAGGAACACCACACCAGTGCTACCCCCCTCGAAAAGGGGTGTCCCTCTCAACTTCACACATCATAAATTAAGTTCATTTACATGCCTTGTAAGAATTTTTTACTTTTTATTTTAATGGGAACTGTGGTTGGGCATCCATATAGATTACAGGGGGTTGGAGTGCGTTACCCCTTTCAATCTATTCTTACAACAGTTGACTGAATGAAGACTAATCTGATTTGAGGCTCAAAACACTTCCTTCACGTGAACGTTAACTACCACGTCTATCTTTTTTCTTTCAGCTTTCTGTACTGTCCTCTAATTCCCTGTTTATATGGTGGATACCAAAGGAGTCTGGTATTCTGCAAGCCTGGAATTTTAATACATAGAGCTGTGGTCTGCTCTTAGTTACCGATACAAATACTGAGCATCTGCATCGATTCTGCTAGAACAGACCTACATTCCTACTGGCACTTTTTTTATATATATCACAAGTACTTTTCTTTTGTCAGATCTTGCGTTACCTCTTAAGTAGTTGGAACACTTTTTGTGAGTCTGCTAGGAGACCCTTTTCACCATGCAAATATCATCTCATAATACACTCAGCAATTTATACTGCAAGGAAAATACAGAAGAGGGAATGAGGGAATGCATCTTACTTGGAAAGTTATAAGACAAGAGAAACATAACGGAGAGATTTTGAGGTTTGCTTTACTTTATGCCCAGGAAGAGATTTCCATATTTCTGCTTCTGACAAGCGAGTCATCTGAAATATCAGGACAGATGGGATCTCACCTGGAGCTCCCGGCCCTGATGTGCTAAAGCGCTCTGTGCTGAGGCCGGTTCACGGAAATCCACCAGACGGCACAGCGCCAGAAAGCCATCATAGAAATGCAGTGTACAGGCAACGCTCTGGTGGGAAACAGTTGTGCTCTTTATATCGCTTGTAAGAGACCAGCAGGGTACCATGTTTGTGCTCGGGGTCACTGCAGCGAGTGCTCTTTCACTTGGCTGTTCTGGTTTTGTTCTTGTAATGAAGAGAAACATTGGGATTTTCTTCATTTTAGGTTGGCTGTTTTTTTAAAGAAGTCTCTGTCAGTAGAGACAGTATCTTCCATTAGGCCAACTGGTGTTTGGAAAAGGTAGCAAAGCTTTGAGAAAACCTTCCTGTGCATTTTTTAAATATTTGATTGAGTAACCCCTGGTGGATTCAGACCCAGCTGAAATGTGCAGCAGCCCAGAGCCGATCCAGACTTTCCAGTAAACCACTTTCTATCGGGTCCTGACATAAAGCGCCGCCGCCTCAGCCGCCCTGCCCTGCTCTTGGAGTTCTGTCTGGACTGGTACCACAGCTGTGGCATTGCTCCTTGCAAAGAATTATGTTATTATCTGGAAAATCAGACAGCAGATGCCCTGGCAAAAGAATCACAGCAGGAAAAGCTTTAATTAGAGAAAGAAAACCTGTTTTGGTAAGATCACTTCATTTCTTTTGGATATTTATTTCATACGCAGTGTTGAAGGTTTTATTTTTTGTTCTGAGTCAGGAAATGCTGAAAACAGAACAAAAGACTTTCCAGTACGTCAGGTTGTGTCCACATCGCGACTGTAGTGCTATTTAGAAATACCTGAGCCAAATTTAAAAACGCTGTTTTGTGTACCAAACACTCGAGCTGGTTTCCTGGGCAGAGCAGCAAAGCGACCTGGCCAGTTCTCGTGTTACCGTAACGTACTGCTGTGTGTGAACCTGCAGCTCCTGAAGGTACAACCGAGCAGAGACAGGAGATCCGAGACAGGGAGCGATTCAAGCGTCCTGACTATATTCCATATCACGGAGATTTTTTTCCAGCCTACGTTTTTTTCCTGAATAAGAATCTTTGTGTCTCTCACTTTCCGTGTTCTCTGATGATGAAAATGCTAACAGCTCTACCCGCAGGAATTCAGTAGTCAGCGTGGGTTGTTTGTTTTGGTTGCTTTTTGTTTTGGTGTTTTTTAAAAATAATTATTATTAATTCTATGTCCAATTTGAATTGTGCTTTAATTTGTAATGTTTTTCAGTACAGAATACATGATGTGACTGATTTCTCTTTGGATACGCTCTGCAAGAAAGCTAGGGGAAAAAAGTAATATGCACATTTAAAAAATGCCAGGTGAGACCATCTCTAGTGCTCCCAGTTTATCATTATTATCGTCCAGCATTAGCACTGTCCACTACTTAATTGCTTGTCATTTGGAAGACTGAGTTTTGGGTAACTGGCACTAGTAGCCAGCAATTCTTGGCAATGAAGTTTTAGTCATTTATTCACAGACTCAGTTCTTCCTAAGCCATGGAAAGAAAGCTCTGACAACGTTTTTCCAGTTTCATGTAGAGACCCATAACAAATAGTGTGACACCTTCGTTTCGTAAGCAGAGAAAAGTGCTGGGGGATGGAAGCATAGTGGGAAAGGTCTCTGAGGAGCTGACACAAGGCAGCCCGGTGTTGGTGCCACCAAACCTTCAGTACTTTCCCCATTTTCTTCTCCTGTCTGTCCTGCACACCTCCTCCCGTTCCTGCCGAGAGAGGGGCACATTTTAGAAAGTAATTTCCCTGCCCAGCATATTCAGAAATAGGTTAATGACACTGCAACTTTAAATAGCTCCTGAATGTGCACCAGCAGGATTTATGGGCACAGCCAGTTCATTGAGCAGCAGCAGCTCCCTGGAACCGTCCCCCCGGCAGCGGAGCCAGAGCTGTGCAATGACTCTGCACATTTAGTCCGGAGAGTCTCGGAGTCGCATCCTCCGGTGTGCTCATCAGCCCCACGGTGAGCGAAAGAATGGTTGTCAAACAGAGATTTCAGGCTGTGGGAGCCTGCGGACTTTGAACTTACACGAACACTTTCAGACTCCTCAGGTAGAAGGATTTTAAGCGGACTGTTCTCCTAAAAGGTACATCTCTAAAGCCTCTGTGTAAGGAAAAGCCCACACGCCCCATGGAAGAATCTGGCACGTGATACCAGAAATCTTGCTATACGGGCAAATGTAGGGAACTGTTGTTCTGCTGCATTAACATTAGGAGAGTTGCACGGGTGCTAGAAGCACCAGAAGTTGTTAAGTAAAGTGCAGATATTGCTATCGGTGTGTAATTTACTCCCAGATTTTAAGTGATACTGAGGTAAAAAAGGAATCGGCAGACAGGAACGTATTATAAAACATGGACTATTATAAATAGGTGTTCTTAGCTATTCTGTATTTTTAAGAAAATTTCTTAGTCAATCCTAAAATAGGAAATACTTCTGTCTGACTTTCTCCATTAAGAGTGAGGTGCCAGACATCAAAATTCAAATATTGAGGCCAAATTCTGCTGTGTTTATAACATACCAGGCATCACACATCAGAACTTAGCTAAGCTGCCAGATACACTTAATCACAGGTTATCGCGGAGCACCATCCAAAACAGGACAATGATTAGATACCACAAGAAGTGCCAGATATAGAAGAAAATATGACGCATACACAAACAGCCACCAGCCTTAGACGTTACAATTACAGAATTCAGAGACATGAACTATCAGAATATTCAACAATTAGTCACGTGGTAGTTAATCCTGATGAGTTGGAGCTGTTTATGTTTAACAGAATCCCTCAGTATCTTCCCTTCCCAGTGTGATATTTAATTGGTGCCATTGTACCCAGCAGATGTTGTTACCTTCCCTGTTATGATAAACATTAGCTGACGCACAGCAGGAAGTTCTGGCTGTGATATCTCCTGGCTGTGACTTGATTGTGCACCATCAGAGGTGAAACACCTCTATGCCACACGCCTGCTAATTCAAGACCTGGGATACTCATCGCCTGAAAGCATCAGATTTTTATTGCTGTATTATACGTGACATATATTTTATTTTTATACATCTATGACTTGCTTAAAATATAAACTTCTGTAGCCATCTGTTCTCACTACTGTTACATTCCTATTTTTTCTCCCCACAAATTCTGTTGCACTGTGTGCCCACTTTCTATCTTGTCTTGAGGTAAGTGTGAGCGTTTCTCAGCAAGGGCTGCCTTTTACCCTATTTCTACAGTTCCTCACACCATAATGATCCAACTGGTACGGCTGGATTCTGCTGAACTTAAGGAAATACAATATGTATTTTTATTTTGTATAATAAAAGAATATCACCGACTCACAAGAAGCACATTTAAAGAGCTACATAGCTGATTCTAAGCTGTTACAAATCGGTAACAGTTCATCCATTTCACTAAATGTAAATGTCCAATAGAATACCCATTTATTGCCTATCAATTGTCCCTGTGACAGGATAGTTCTGAATTAATTCTGAAAATAGTTGGATATAAAGTACTTCCAGGATACTAATAGCAGGAATAATTGCAATTCACCATTAAAAACCATTTTCTCGGGGATTTTTGTCACAAAATTTAAGATATCATTTTAAAACGGATCCCATGAGATAACAATGAGTTTTGATAAAGCCATTATATGAAGCCACGTTCCTTGCTTCCCTGAGTCCAGGATATTGGCTGCTCTATTTGAGCCAGCTGGGAAAGATTCCCAAGGAGCTGCCTGCCAGGTATGTGTTGTCAGAAAGCTCCAGCCGCTGTTACTCTTCTTTCTGTATCTAGATCTCTCCTCCCATGCCAGCGACTATAAGGAGATGATGTAGGAGCCAAAAATACTAGCTGTGGTTGGCATCGTGGGGAGACTACAGTCTCTTGGGCTGAATGGAGTAAAAGAAAGAATTTGCCTTACAATTCCTGGATATCTCTGAACTATCTTTCCTTACAATCAAGTATAGAACACATTGGGTCAACATGAACAGGATTTATCAGTATCCTCTGGCCATGTTTAATGGATTATTGAGCCAGGATTATGCAGCCATACCAGTAGCAGAATTTTTACTGAGTTTTTTACTGAAATTTTACTGAGATTTTTTTCTGTCAGTGTGGGGTATAAAAATCTGACCTGCTAAAAATGAATGTGTTAGTTAATGCTTGCAACTTTTTAGGAGTGATAATGAATTAAATTATTCCATTTTGAAATCTAGCTCTTTCTAACATTTTTTTTGAGCCTTCATGTTACGACCAGGGAGCTATTACGCTTTCCAACTTGTTGCATAGCTAAAAGCTCTTGTCGAGCTGGAGCAGGCTACCTGCGGCTACGCCGAATTATTCATGTGGACTAATGAAGGCGAAACTATCCCAATGTCACCCTGCGGTCAGGCCTGCTGGCTGGCTGAAGCCGCTCGGAGGTGGTGCCCTGTGGCAGGAGAGACCCGAAACAATAACACCCCTCTTCCTCACCTCCTATGCTCCCTTCTGCTGGCTGACATCAGCCAGAAAACCTCCAACAGTCACCACACACCATCAGAGAGCGGTTGTCTCAGTTACGGTCCATTCTGCTGCTGGTTTCAGGTATTTAAAACATATCCCTTCTAAGAAAAATTACAAGTTTTTAAGTCAGAGGCAGGTAAGACGTTGACTGAGAGGGAAGCAGCGGTTAGGCACTGACAGGACGGGAGCCGGCGCAGACGCGGAGGCG